AAAAAAAAAAAAAAAGAAAAGAAAATTGATAAATATGACAACAAAAAAATGTATCAATAGCAAACAAACAGGAAAAAAGGCAAACTCTCTTACAGAACTGCCTTCAAAGAGTAAAAGAGTACTGGTCAAGAGAGAAAAGTAAGAGTTGTTTTTTTGTTGTTGTTTTGAGGCAGTTTCACTTCATCACAGTTCATCACAGCAATCTCAAATTCTTGGGCTTAAGTGATCCTCCCACCTCGGTCTCCCAGAGTGCTAGGATTATAGGCATGAACCACCTTGCCCAGGCTGAAATTAGAGATTTTGAACATCTTGAGAAATAGCTGGAAGTTTCTGGTCCTCATTTGTGCTGGGAAGATGTTTTTCCATCTCTCTGGAAAGACTAATTAAGTGCTAGTTTGGCAGAGCCCTCTGTGTGTCTTGCAGGCTTGTGACATCACAGGAGGCCTGTACTTGAAGGTCCCTCAGATGCCCTCACTTCTACAGTATTTGCTGGTAAGGAGGCAGCAAGAGTGACCCCAATACCTTGAGTAAAATATGACCCCCGTGTCCTGGGGAATGAATGGGAACAAGAAGGCTGGTGCTGATAATTGGAAGAAAGGAATAATGGGGTGGTCTTAGAGTTTCAAAGCTGAGGAAGACAGGCTTTTCTGTCAGATGACTTTTCTCTTATTTTAAGTAAAAGTTACTTGTTTTTGTTTGTTTTTTTCTTTTTTACAGTGGGTTTTCCTTCCTGATCAAGATCAGAGATCTCAGTTAATCCTCCCACCCCCAGTTCATGTTGATTACAGGGCCGCCTGCTTCTGTCATCGAAATCTCATTGAAATTGGCTATGTCTGTTCTGTGTGTCTGTCAAGTAAGTTCATGTACTTAGTTTTTGTCAGGGGACAGGCAGAAAATATCTGAACTCTGTGGTTTTTAAATCACCCTTTTGTTGTTGTTGTTTTTTTAATTTATAGTATTCTGCAACTTCAGCCCTATCTGCACTACGTGCGAGTGAGTATCCTTCAGGTTGTGTGGGTGGCCCATACTTCAGAGGTTTCAAGTATTAAAAAGTGTTTTCTTCTTTCCGTCATTTCAGGACAGCCTTTAAGATCTCTCTGCCTCCAGTACTGAAGGCCAAGAAAAAGAAACTGAAAGCATCTGCATGAGGATAATGTATTCGCCTACTTGTAGAGCTGTTAATAGAGTTTTTGTTGGGGAGGCTCCGAAAAAAACACAGATATGCAGGGGATAATTTTTAATGTAGTGAGATTCTTACAGGAAATATTTCCAGAACATCCTTCTCATCCTGTGCTTCTGAGGGACTGATTTGTTTATGGGAGTCATTCTATGCAATATATCCTAAAATCTCCCATGACCAGTTTTTGTCCAGAGAAGGGGAAGTCAGCCTATCATGACCGAGTATATGTTTTAGAAGCTATTATCTAAGTCTGGGTCCTTACTGTGAATTGTATGACATGTGAAATTTGAACACATCTTTGGAAAAAGTGACTTTTTACGGAATAATGGCATTAATCAAGATAGAACATCTTACTTAATCAACAGTTAACATCAGCAATCGTCATACAAATAAAATCCTTATTGTCTAAATTGAGATTTAGCTTCGGATATTAACAGATTTTTTTTGTCTGATACTGTGTATCAGTACATATTTGGACAAATATATCCAAATAATAACAGTTTGTCCCCAAATACCTACAAAATCTGACTTCAAGTGAGTAAGAAGAGCAAGGGCAGTAGTCTGGTAGCAAATTTTTCTTCACAAACAGTTAGGTGAAAAGCTTATTTGTGGAAGCTAATGTCTGGTTGTGAGGGGTGTTTATTGGGGAAATAGACTCTGTATCAAGGGTTGTCCCCAGATGGAAGTCTTTCCTTTTTTTAGTGGAGGAAAAAACACATTATTATTGGGAACTGTTCTCTAGAAGTTTTGAAGTGATTACTGAAAATTTTATAAGTTCAAAAAATTATTTGTAATTTCAGCAATAAAAAACTTATTTTTCTATGTAACCTTGAAATTATTAAATGTCCTTTTAAGTTCCAGCATGTATATATATGAAGAGTTTAAGGAATGGTGGTTAGTTTAGCTTGTTTTTAAAGTTGGCAGGCTAGGTAAGGTGGCTCAGGCCTATAATCCCAGTGCTTTGTGTACTTCGGGAGGTTAAAATGAGAGCATCACTTGAGGCCAAGAATTTGAGACCAGTCTGGGCAACATAGACTCCATCTCTGCAAAACAATATTAAAAACAGAAGTAATTAAAAACCTGTTTATGAGGGCAGCGCCTGTGGCTCCAAGGAGTAGGGCCCCGGCCCCATATACCAAAGATGGTGGGTTCAAACCCAGCCCCAGCCAAAAACTGCAAAAAATGAATGAATGAATAAATAAATAAATAAAAACCTGTTTGTGTATACAAGTTTATATGTAAATAGACTTAATATTTTTCTTCATACAAGCTGAATCTTAAATAATTTGGTTTTTGGCTAGATGATTTCAGGTAGAATTATATTCTGGATTTGTGATTTTGTTAAAATTATCCAGCCTGACTTGGTGCCTGTGGCTCAAGTGGCTAAGGCGCCACCCACAACCCAAGGTGGCGGGTTCAAATCCAGCCTGGGCCCACCAAACAACAATGATGGCTGCAACCAAAAAATAGCCAGGTGTTGTGGCGAGTGCCTATGGTCCCTACTATTTGGGAAGCAGAGGCAGGAGACTCACTTGTGCCCAGGAGCTGGAGGTTGCTGTGAGCTGTGATGCCATGGCACTCTACCCAGGGAATAGCTTG